GTGTTTGTGTCCTGGGTCTTGTGTCTGTCTCTGTGTGTGTGTATGTTCTGGTCACTCTGTGTGTGTGCAATGATCATGTACTGTATGTGTCCAGGTGATGACCATGATGTCCTGCGTGTGTCCTGCGTGTGTGTGTCCAGGTGATGACCATGATGTTCCGGTGTGTCCTGTGTGTGTGTGTCCAGGTGATGAGCATGATGTCCAAGTGTGTCCTGTGTGTGTACAGTTGATGGTCATGATGTTCCGGTGTGTCCTGTGTGTGTGTGTGTCCAGGTGATGACCATGATGTTCGAGGTGCAGGACCTGGCCGTAGCGTCTCCAGCCACAGTGTCGCGCTGCGGGATGGTGTATCTGGAGCCCAGCATCCTGGGCCTGACCCCCTTCACCGAGTGCTGGCTGCGCACCCTGCCCCTGCCCGTTCAGCCCTTCAGCCAGCAGCTGGCCTCTCTCTTCGACAGGTTCCTCCAGGTACCGACCCCTCACCCCGTCAGCCTCTCCAGGACAGGACAGGATTACAGGGCTGCCCTGGAAGTGGAGGAATTGAACTCATTAAGGAGCCTCACCTTCTCTGAAAAAGCTGCACATTCTCTACGGCGGATGATACTGTATAATTACTGTGCCCAACTTGACATGAACTGTATATCAGTTATGCAGTCCGAGAAGATTATGACTGAAATAAAGTGCTTAGATTTTTATGAATTTAATAATCCAAGATTGGCTATATTTATGGACTGATAGAACTCTTACAGGTCATTTATAGGTATCAGTTTTCTCAAGCTGGCTGGTGTCCGGGTCCCGTCTCGTTGAACGGTCCCAGAAATGCAGTGGTGGGTGCTGTGGGCACGCAGGGGCCGCTGTCAGACAGGGGGCTAGGGACTAACTCTGCCCCATCCGCAGGACTCCATCGCCTTCGTCCGCCAGTCCGTGACCGAGGTCATCGCGTCTATGGACAGCAACCTGGCCTGCAGCCTGCTCAAGCTGCTGGACTGCTTCTTCCAGCCCTTCATTCAGAAGGAGGTAAAGACCCGGGTCAGAAGAGCTGCTGCTGAGCGCGTGTGTATGCTAACCATGGTAACCCACATCCTGCCCAGCAGTTTGGAAGGTCCAGGCTTCTTGTAGCTATAACTGCAGCACTTGAGCAAGGGCTAAACTCCATGTAGGCAGTTCCTCCCAGAATCGATATCTCTGTGCCGTTCTCGTTGCTGGGATTGTATCGCATCTTTTTTTCAAAGTTGGAGCTTCTGCTGTGTGCCTCCCCAGTCTGGAAGCGCTGAGCTGATTAGCCTCCACCAGTGGGAAACGACAAGTTCCTGCCAGCAGTGCCCTGACAGTCGGCAGCGAGTCACATCTTCCAATTTAAGTAACACGATAAAATGGCCCAAGTGTCCTTCTGATTTCACTTACAGAAAGCACACCGCAACCATCTAGGCGTCAGAGAATTGATCTCATCAGCCTTGACAGAGTCTGCGGTGTCACAGTGGGTTTGTTGCTGTTGTCAGACAGGCAACACAAGCCACAGCTACGTCCCCCCGCCTCCAGTATCATGCCTGTCGGCTGTCTGTCCCGCAGGGGGAGAGGCTGCCCTCCCAGGAGAAGCTGTCCCGCCTGGGGGAGCTGATCGAACCCTGGTTCATCTTCTCCCTGGTGTGGAGCGTGGGGGCCACTGGGGACGCGCAGAGCTGCCGGCGTTTCAGCTCCTGGCTCAGGGACAAGATGAGAGTGGAGAAGGTGAGAGTGAGCCCAGAGCTCTTTCCGCCAGCCCGTCCATCAGCCAGAGGGCTTGAGCCTGTACAGCGCCCGATATGCAGGAAACAGTTCCCAGACTGTCTGCCCCTGCCTATTCAGATCTTCCTCACCCTGATCTGTGGGACTGGACTGAGTTCGTTTTATGTTTGATCCCGGCTCAGGTCTTAGTCACCAGTTCACAAGCTGCATTTACTGACATACATCATATCTGAATCTGCCTACTGAGCCTTTCGAGATTGTTTTCTTGCTTAAAACATAAGTGACATGAAGTATGAAACACCGTATGAGCTGAATCCCTTTCTGAGAAGACCTGTTTTGTGATTCACCGGGTTATTGATTCATCTAAGTCACTGAGAGAACAGAAGGAGGGAAAAGCAGCAGACACTGGGGTCAGTACGCCCTAGATGTACTTTCACAAGAGAGCTCACACCCTTCCTTCCAAACCAAGGTACTCTACTCATTCATTCATTTAGATTTACTAAGTACTGCTCCTGAGGCTGTGAACATATACCGGTGATATTCTGAGCTGGAAGAAGAACTTGTCTCTTAGTAGTTTTACTGTAGATTGAATGAATTTGGTAAAAAGGGCTTCACATGGTTTTATCTTAACGCAGGGTAATTTAACAAAGTGAAACCACACTTAGGCTAATTCTGGTGGGAAATCAGGTTGAACATAGGAAAGCATTTGAAAAGTAAAGTTCATGTACTGTACAATTAAAGTTTAGGGGGTGTTTGGTTTTTCCCCTATAGGTCCAGCTGTGCTTCCCTGAGGAGGGCCTGGTCTATGACTACCGGCTGGATGACGCTGGGATCAGTAACGTGGCTGAGGAGGAGGAGGAGGAGAAGTCAGGGAGGAAAGTGAGTCTTTCTTACTCAGTAAAGACACTCAGCTCCCGCTGATCCTAAGTGTGCCTCAGCTCAGCTGAAATCAAAAAACATTAAATCAGACTTTATTTTACCTTTATTTACACATTGTAACACACAGCCGGCAAATGAAAAACAGGAGCTCAAACATTGCGAAAAGAAATTACAAATGAAAACAATTTTTTACTTTACAACACCCAACAGTAACCAGGAATTTTTCATGTGGTCCACTTTCACTTAGTTTTTTAATCCTAACAGAAGCAGATCTTCACAGCCAACAATGAGAATTTGTGGGACTCTAATTTACTAATTCATTTAATTTACTAATTAAACAACTGTGTGGTATCAGTGATAGAACAGATCAGTGTTCAGTTCTGAATGTTTGTTGCCTAGAATTAAATATATGTGATTTTCTGCTTGTTTTGTACAAGAACCTCTTGGTAATGAAATCCGAAAATGGGTCAAGCTGGTCCTGGGATATAGAGACAGACGTGCCCGATGCTGTATTTTCGGATCTCTCTTGGCAGGGGGATTCTTGCACCCAGTTTTGTTAAACAAATCAGTAGACATTGAACTATCAAAGTCAGATCACAAAACCCACCTTTACAAGGTGACCTTTTGCAAGAATTAAAAGGTTTGATCTGAACAACCAGCGAAACTGCACAACAGCCACTATAAGAAAAGCAGATTCTCTTGTGGCTCAGTTTCAGGTGACTGAAACGACTGAGGCAGTCCATCGTGTGTGTCTGTCCTTGTGTCCAGGTGTGCTGGGTCAGCTGGATGGAGTCCTCCCCGAACGTGGTCATCACCCCGGAGACCAGCTACTCTGACATCATCGTCCCCACGCCGGACACCGTGCGCATGTCCTTCCTGATGGACATGCTGCTCTCCAACAATAAACCCGTACGACCTGCCGATCTGTCCGTTCGCAAACACAAGCGACGTGCGATTATCCCCTCCTTCCACTCCAGCCTGGCTGGCGTTCATTACACCAGAATTACACAAGGGGAATGGACACCGGCCACAGACTGCCAGTGTCTCTCTGGGCCTGCAGACCATCGCATAGCATGACGCCCTGCGGTGGACTGTCAGTCCCAGCGCTCGTCTTCTTCTTGCTCCTGCACTGATGTGGCTTTTTGATTCGTTTTGATTTCCATTAGTTTTGTTTTAGAGTTTAGACAGCACTGAGAAACAACAAAAAAATACACCAATGTATTATCCAAGCAGGAGCAAATACAAAGTTCTTTTTTAGACCATCCATAATGGGCAACAACACCGGGAATATAAAACCCTTAATTATTCGTCGTTCTGTAGTCAGAAAAGTGCTTACTCCTGGGAAGGGCCTGGTCCAGAGGCATGGGGTACAAGTCAGGTCTGCCTCGGATGTGATGCCAGTGCATTTCAAAGAATACGCACACAAGCACACAGGGACAGTTCAGAAATGAGGATATCTGTGTAATCTGTGGTTGTGTCGGCCTGCAGGTGCTGTGTGTGGGGCCCACGGGCACAGGCAAGACCCTTACCATGTCCAACAAGCTCCTGAGGGGCATGCCTGCCACGTACATCACTCACTTCCTCATGTTCTCCGCCCGCACCTCCGCCAACCAGACCCAGGACTACATCGACAGCAAACTGGACAAGAGGCAAGGGCCCGGGGCCTCGAGTGCTTGCATGGTGGCTAAAAAGACAGCTGCCTGGTCAGCCGTCCGTGAGTGACAGGACAGGAGTCAGCAGGAGTCGCGCTCATTGTTCGATTCACTGGAGATATACCACAGTTCCACCCAAGATTTAAAAAAACATTGAATGTGGCACCCATGAAAGACTATCAGTTTCTTATTTGTAATTAACTGTTGCCTTGGGGTCAACAGAAAATCCTGTCCTTCCCTTGAAGATTCCATTGTGTCTTGAGTGGCACTGGGAGGGAACTCCTGTTGCTTTTTGAGGGAGCTCCTGTTGTGTCTTCAGTTGATTTCTGTGTTGCTGTGGCTAAATAATTGTCTGCTGTATCTGATGTGAGCACTCCTGTTTGCTGGATCTGACGTGAGCGCACCTGTCTGTATCTGACGTGAGCACTCCTGTCTGTATCTGACGTGAGCGCACCTGTCTGTATCTGACGTGAGCACACCTGTCCTCTGTATCTGACGTGTATCTGACGTGAGCACACCTGTCTGTATCTGACCTGAGCGCACCTGTCTGTATCTGACGTGAGCACACCTGTCTGTATCTGACGTGAGCACACCTGTCCGCTGTATCTGACGTGAGCGCACCTGTCTGTATCTGACATGAGCGCACCTGTCTGTATCTGACGTGAGCACACCTGTCCTCTGTATCTGATGTGAGCACACCTGTCTGTATCTGACCTGAGCGCACCTGTCTGTATCTGACGTGAGTGCACCTGTCCGCTGTATCTGACGTGAGTGCACCTGTCTGCTGTATCTGACCTGAGCACACCTGTCCGTATCTGACGTGAGCGCACCTGTCTGCTGTATCTGACGTGAGCACACCTGTCTGCTGTGTCCCCCAGGCGAAAGGGAGTCTTCGGCCCCCCTCTGGGGAAATACTTCATTTTCTTCATCGATGACCTGAACATGCCTGCGCTGGAGACGTACGGAGCGCAGCCGCCCATCGAGCTGCTGCGTCAGTGGCTGGACCACGGCGGCTGGTATGACAGGAAGCAGATAGGTAGGGCCTCCTTGCTGGGTCTCTCAGAAAACTAAACCTCACTGGTTGCTGTGGAGGTGGGAAGTGTGCAAATGAGATTCATTCTTGAGTTCATTAAAAAATCAAGAGCGAAAACTGTTCTTCCATAAAATTTTAGAATAAAAACAACTACCTGATAAAGCTTTTAAACGTAATAGTTCAAATATTTCTTATAACGCTCCCAATGAATAGTAAAGGCATTAAGCAATAGCGATAGTTTAATTTCAAAGTTTACTTTTTTCATGCAGTTTTTTGTGGCGTAAATTTTTCGGAGGAGAGTGTGGGTAATAATTAGGGATACAGTTATGCCACAGCATGAGTGTTGATATGGAAATCACACATCTGGGTATTTGCTGTGAAACCCAGACGTATGACTGTAAAAAGAGGACAGGCTGTGTTTTAATTACCACCAACTGTAAAATATCAGGAGTGAAAAGCAATGGACAGATCACGGTCCCCTGCAGTCTGGTTCGTGACCCAACCAAACGGGTGCTGTTACTGCAACACATTCATCTCTGC